TATAGTATGTTGCAATTTTCTTCCTATATTATATCATATCAGTCAAAACCAAATAGACACACAGGATAAAAGGGATCTACCCTCAAAGACTGATTATGTTGTTCAGAACACAGACACTGAATGAAGATGGTACTCATCACAGAAATTTACTCTTCAGGATTACTGAAGGATATCTGTCCAACAATGACAACGTGAAACCCTTTGCTTTATTTTTTTTTTATTTATTTTTTTTTTTCCCCATCATAACAAATAAGGTAAGAAATGAAACCACTTCCATATACGTAGTCAGGAGATCACTGTGCTTTCCTGTACAATTATCTTGAATCTATGATTCTATGATCCTAATCTGTTATGGAATTAATGTTGATATGAACAACAGTCCCTTGAACTATCTAACTACTGAGGAGATACAGGACCATGGGCAGCCTGAGACTGACTTCTTGCACCTCCAAGTAGCAGAGGCAGGGAAGCAGCTGGCACGAAGGACTGCTAAGGCAGGCAGCCCTGTCAGAGCTGAAGCCATCAGCAGAGCACAGGCCACCTGCCCAGAACCAAGAAGGAAGCAGGGAATATCAGTGTAAGCACAGCTATGTAATTAATCACCAGGTTCCATGAACATCAACAGACAAAGCAGACTGCGACTTTAGTGGAAATAACATCTGGTCTAACTCTTAAGAAAATAAATTAATTGATCACTTTCACTGCAAAGTAACGATCAAAATCGTTACAAAAACGAAAAAAAATCTCAAGGAAAATACGTTAGTTTTCACCTAGATTGATTCTTTAATATGTTTAATATATATGAATGTATGACCCATTTCTCATTCCTGATTGTGATTAAAGATTATAAAATGATTCCTAATGATTTAATCATTCTCCTGCAGCCATTAAGAGGTTTTAAGTTCTTACTCAGTATTTATTTAACTGACTACTGAAGACACAGCATTTAACTCACAGAATCACAGAATTGCAGCAGATGGAAGGGACCTCAAGAAATCACCGAGTACAACTCCTGCTAAAGCAGATACACCACAACAGGTCACACAGGTAGGCATCGAGCCGGGTCCTGAATATCTCCATATAAAGAGACTCTACAAGGCCTCTGGGCAATCCATTTCAGTGCTCTGTTACCCTTACGATAAAGAAGTTCTTCCACATGTTTGTACGGAACTTCCTATGTTCAAGTTTTAGGCCACTGCTCCTTGTCCTGTCTCTGCACACCACTGATAAGAGCCCGGCCCCATCCAACTGCCTCCCATCTTTAGATATTTATAAACATTTTTAAGATGGCCCCTCAGTCTTCTTATCCCCAGGTTGAACAGACAAGGTTACTCAGACTTTTCAAACACGGGAGATGCTCCAGGCCCTTCACGATCTTTGTGGTCCCTCTGCTGGACCGCTTCTAGGAGATCCCTGTCTTCTTCGAACTGGGGAGCTCAGAACTGGAACAGCATTCTAAATGTGGCCTCACCAGGGCAGAGTAGAGAAGGATCACTCTCTTAACCTGCTGGCCACACTCTTTTTAGCCTACCCCAGGATCCCACTGACCTTCTTGGCCTCAAGGGCACACTGCTGGCTCATGCCAATCTGCTGTCCACCAAAACACCCAGGGCCTTCTCCACAAAGCTCTTCTCCAGTAGGTCATCCCCTAAGCTGTAGAAGAACTCATGGCTCTTTTGTAATAACAATAACACAAGTATTATTTTTTTTCATTCAACAATTATTCCTGCCTTGATTTTCTTTAGAATATTTTGAAGTTAATAGGTAATTCCCAAGTACAAGGTTTTTTGAAACCAAAAGAAAATAAAAATAGCTATAGCTATATAATATTCCACATGTATTATAATTAAGGAATTTTTTAAAAAATATGATAATAGTGTAGATTTATTTGAGAATTCCCTGCATGTTGCTACTTTCCTGGAACCATCGGTATGATAACTTCATTCTCTTAAGAGCTGACAAATCCAAAACTACACTCAAGTTTTGTGTGAGTGACATTCTGGTGGGTTAGCATAAGGCCAGAGATAGTGAAAGGCCCTGCAGAACCACTCATGTCTATGCAGAAAGTTCAGGCACTCCCCATGTCCTCCCATGCGTGGGAGCTCCTCGTGCTCCTCGGGGGTGAGGAATGGGAGCACAAAAAAGGTGTGGCATGGATATGGGCACTGCTCCCAGCTGGGATCTGCTGCCTCTTGAAAGGTATAAGCAATCAGCCCAGGGCAGGTAAGACTGACTTCTTTGCCCACAACTCACGGGCGTTTTTTTCTGAAATAAAATGATACAGAATGGTCACTGTGCTTTGAGGTAATAAATACAGATAATCGCTAAGATAACTTTGGAATAAGCTACAGATATGTCTGGAAAAATTAGACCTCACAGATGACTGCATGAGTTTCAAACGGAATTTCTGTTGAACAGATAATTTGTATCTATACCAGATTTTTCATAAAAATACTCATTTTCGTAAATACAACTTAAGATTCTTCTTGTGGATTACAATGTAAAAAAGAAGGAATAACTGTGTATGGACAATGATAAAGTAGCCTGTTGATAATAAATATTTGTCAGCTCTTGTCACATCTCTAAACATTCCACTGTTACTGAAGAGACACCACACTGATAGAAAAAATAAAAAAAAAATCAGAAAAATCAATGGATTTTGAGCTAAAGCAGTTGCTAAACACACAGAAAACATCTTTATCCAACAGCCATAGTGCTGTGAAAATTCCCAAGCCTTGCATTGGTACAGCTAAGGAAAATTTAATCTTCCCAAATACTCATCAGGGCACTCCATCCTGCAGACCTGACAGCCCCACTTATAATTAATTATACAATTTCGATGGGAATATCGACTAAACAAAGCTATAAATCATAGAAAAAGTCAATAGGCATGGACACATTCAATCATGTCCCGACCAATGATTACTACTCTTAAAATACAATAATTATTTTCAGGAGCCAGCTTGAATTAAATTTCTGTCAGGCTGGTACAAGACCGGCGGTTGATGAAGGATGCGATGGATTTTTTGGGTTGAATTCGGCACAGAGACATTTATCCTTTTAGATAGGTAGTTTGTTTTTAGTGATCATGGTGCTGTGTGTTTAACTAGACCATGAAGATTAGATTATCTCCAATGGCTCATTATATCGTTTATCTTTTCCTTCCATGTTTGATCTGGAAGATTTCCCCCTTCTTGATGCACGAATGAAATGACTGCTGATTTAGAAAGGGAATGTGCTTAAGTGAGATTCTGCTTATGCCTTTCCACACTGCGTTCACGTATGTAAAGCCAACCAGCAATCACCTGAAACGCCACTGAGGATGTGGCAAATGGCAGCAACACGAACAGTTTTGTTCAGCTTCAAAAATGTACTGGGCAAAAAAAAAATCAAAATTACAAACATTTTGAATTGTTTAAAGAAAGCTAAAAGATAAGAATAGTAAAAAAATACAGAGAAAAATATATATTTATCTGTGGAGACAGATTAGTGTTACTTTGTATTAAAAGCTACTTTGTCACTAAAAAGCCCAATTGTTAGTATTTCCCAATGATGTTTTCACCTTCTAAAACTACAAGAAAAAAAGAGAGAGAGAAAGAAACCAACTAAGTTTCCTTACAGTAGCTGTGTTTTTAAGATATCCTGCCTACACAGTTATCTTCTGTGGTGATTATCTGCCCCAGCTGAAAGATGGGCTTTAAGTGGGGACAGCAATCCCAGTAAGTAGGATGGACGCCAACAAGTGCTTCAAGAAGAAACATCATTTTCTTAACAAGTCAGTCTCATCAACTGCTCTGACTCCAAGAAATGAGTGAGATCTTGCATTTTCATATGGAACTAAAAACATCTGGGTGTAAGTCAACTTTCAATCAGAGAGGGTGAGTAAAAGGGCTTCAGCTGTCTTCCTTGCCCTTGTGTCTTCTTTCATTTTGGTTCATGGAAGGAAGATAAAATTCAGGCACCCTGGGGAAGGATTGGGAAGCTTGGCTAACTTGTCAGCACAAATTGCTTTGACACACACATCTCCACAAAACGCCGAGTTTTCTGAAGGTTTTGCTTGTTTGGTACTGCCTGCCCTCCTGATGTAGCTCAGAATATTCAACATGTGAATGCCATTACTTTCTGCATACACAGGCACACCTAGATATGAAAAAAGGAGCTTAATTCTTGAATCAGTGAAGGTAGGACAGTTTGCACAAGCAGAGGGTCAGGCCAACAAAATCCACAATAAGGCACCCGCGTGCAGCATGTGTATTCTTGATCAGCACTCTGTCTGTGCTTAACATTCTGTTTTTTCTGTTCCGGATGTTTCATGTTTTTCCTTTACATACATAACCCCTAGGAACCTTTGATGAAATCGAGAATACTACAAGCAGCCATATAGAGATTTTCCAAAGTGAAGTGGCTACATTTTAAAGTAAAAAACCTCAAAGATTATAAAAAACCATTCTCTACAGAAAGAATGTAGTCGTCATTACACATCAAAAGGTTAGTGCTCCCTGTCTGCTTTCCCTTATTAAGCTCCATGTAACTGCCTCAACAGTGCCGGTCTGCTGCAGGGTTTGAGCCTTCTATTCCATTTATTCACACATTCCATTACTCCTTCACATACTCACTCCATATACTAAGAAGACACAGGTATTTTCGGTGCAGTTTTGCATTAAAGGTTTTTCATAAGTTTTCAGGACGTGCACATTGAAGAACCAGTAAAGAAACATTCTATCTCAAGAAATACAAAATAGAAGATAGAGACGACATGGAAACCAGCACGTATACTTCACTGAAATATTTTTTTCTACGAAAAAGAAGGTAAACAAACAGATACCAAAGTTAAGAAGCTGTACTATGGATGAAAGTTGGAGCAATGACCAAGCTGGATGAATTATCTTTTCTCATTCTGGAGACAAGAGGACGAATAAGGGTGAGGGTTGGTAAGGGTTGATAGAAACGCAATTTTTATGTGAGTTTCCAAGTTATTCCTTCAACAGTAATGAACTTACCGCAGTGCCATTGTTATCTCTAAAAACATCTTGATTAAAATAGTCAAACAGCTTCTTTTCTAATTGTAGCATAACCTAAAAAAAATAGAGGAGAAAGGTCAGAAAAACTCAGGGACCCTATTGGATACATGCAGGCTTTAATACAGCGCCTCTGAGCGCCTCGAGCTGCTTGTCAGCTTGCCCATTTAGTTGACTGGCAATCAGTTAGAAAAATCCAATTAACTGAGCATTAGGTGTGACAATACGTATCCCTCCCCTCCCTTTAAATTAACAGTTTGAAACAACTATATTCATGCTCTGCAGAAAAGAAAGTGAACATTCAGCAACGTTTCTGTTTACCCAGGAGGGACAGAGGGCATTATGTTGTTTACCTTTCGGTCATTATCGGATTCACGAAATATTAGCTTGACTACTTCATTTGTGTCAGCTGCCCGGACAGTCTGCATTGTAGCCTTCGCACATAGCGTCTAATAAGAAACACAAAGGGAGAAAGGGGAGCTCATTTACACGAAAGGTAAGGCCATATCTTGCTGAACTTGATCAATCTATGCATCTTCAAGTGCAGACTCAATGCCCATCCAAAAGTATGATTTGCCATAGGTCTAAAGACGAAACACTGCTAATTTAACTGATTTTCATTTATGATGGGTTTAAAACAAGAAACTGGTTTACTGTTTGGAGAGAAACAGACAATATAATACAGTATCAATGAAATAAAATGTACTCATCTGGCTTACTGCTGTGCACACAGGTTCTGTCACAGGTCGACACTGCATCACACATGACTTGTCAACATTCTCAAAAGCCATTTCCTACAGCCAATGACTCTACGGTACTATCTGTTTATGTACCATATTTTTAAAAGCTGATGAGTACCTTGGTACTACAGTTCCTGCAGCTTAACTCATTGGCCAAAATGTCTGCATTGTGAACAAATGCCCCCAGAATAATTTAAAGATCGCAGGAACATTTAACAATCTAACAGTAACTTTCAAAGCTCATTCTGGATAGCTAATTGCACACGCACAGTTGTTTTAAATAAGAGACAACATCACCGCTCTAGACATTCTGAGGACTGTGTGCCTCACACGTACTGTCAGTTAACACTTCCTTAGAGTCAAGGTATGAAGCTCAGAGGCGTCAGGCCCTGGCTCCTGTGTGACTGGCCAAGCTGTGGCCCAGCTGTAATGGCAAGGAAAGGGGACCCGGAGGGCTGGCTGCCTGTGGGGTGTGCTCTGCTCTGTTGTGACAGGTGAAAGCCTGGCACCTCAGCAAAGTAGTCAGACGTGTATTTAACATAAAAACACTCTTTAGATTCACAGAACCCATATTTTTATAACTGTGTTAAGAGCTTTAAAATGCAGAGAGAGAATATATCATAACTGTGGGGTATGCAGGCTTCATTATATGAAGTTATCCAGCATGGGCAACGCTACCAAATGGTGTGTGGTGCTACTCTGACCCATTTGTCTGGGCTGCTGGGAAGCTCAAGGCAGAAGACAAAAGGGGAGTTGTGTACATCTAATTATTACTCAATGACAGACAGAAAATGGCCAAGGTGGGCACTTATTCGTGGGAAGCAGCCCAGTTTCTCTTGCCGTAGTCTAGCCTCCAGCAGCTCACAGTATCTATGCACAAGATAAGGACACTGGTAAAGATGATCTTTCTGAATAAAGGATTATTTTGATAGAAGTTCTTACCAAGAATGCACTCAAGAATTCAGTCAACGAGGAAACAGGTGCCTTCCCTATTCTGTCTCTTTCATTCTTCATAATAATGGTCAGAGAACAGACTGCTATTTTGCATAATATTCACTTATAAAATGAATATGATTTCTGTTAATGGGAAATTTCACATCCCACCACACACTTCTTTCTTACAAAAACATAAATATTGTGATTCATTATTCCAAGCACAGTATCCATCAGACATCATATCTTGCTTACAAAACAGCTTACTTCCCAGTTCCCCATTAAGAGTTTATTTGAAAGAGATGTCTGGCACCTATTTTTAAAAAAGTCCACATGCTTCCAAACGATCCAGATCTCAGCTCAGGTTTCCAGTGATAAGAGTGTATGAAAACCTTCTCATTTGAAGAAAAAAAAGAAAGGCATTAGAATGATCCTGTATAAAGGGGCCTACATGTTTCCACAGTACAAACAAAAAGGAAAAGTGGAGTGATTTCATTTTTAAAGGATAGTAACCTGGGTGTGATTCGGTAAGGATGAAATACACATCTCAGTTCTTTAATTCAGCTCTGCAAGCCGAACCAGGGCTGACCCCGCCTCACTGAACACAGCCCGTCCTCGCCTGGGAGGCTGCTCACGATCGTCTCCCTCCCAGACAGGCAGTCTGTGGACACGAACATCCAGCTCCGAGTTGTATCACCCCAGATCTGCCGTGCCCACCAGCCAACAGACGCACGGCAAACGGTAGCGTTCACTGGCGGACAGCACGTGCGTCCCCTCAGCGCGGCCTGGGCTGCCCTGCAAAGCCTTCCCCGCGCAGCAGAGCCCCGCAGCGCTCCTGGACGGTGCCGGTGAGCGCGGTGCCGGTGAGCGCGGTGCCGGTGAGCGCGCTGCGGGCGCTGCGGGCGCTGCGGGCGCTGCGATGCGGCTCCCCGCGCTGCTCCACGATGCACCGCCGCGCTGTTCCCTCGCATCGCCGCCGTTTTTACCTTCGGCCCCGCTCTCTCCGCTTCTACACGTAATTAATGTTTTGCCATCTGCGTCCGCAGGCGGCTCCCGATGAGGTAATCCAGCAGCGAGCCATTCCCAACGCGCAGGGCCTTCGATACCGCCATTGAAATGCAGAGCACAGATTAGCTAATCGGGTCAAGACTAAAAAAATAGCGCTTTGGGCTCATGTGTCACAAATCAGTCTGGTCGCCTTTAAACAGCGCACCAGATTAGAACAAGCACCCGAACAAACCAAAGCGGAAAACCCGCCGCTCTCTAAAGCTGGTTTCTAAAGCCCTAACAAATCGCTCCATCTTTCACTCATTTAAACTTTCCAAATGAGGGTCAATACGGTCCCCGAGCATCCAAATGCTAATGCGCTTAAGTGCCCTTAAGCAGCTTTCCAGAGTGAATGGGCCAAAGAAGGGCTCGAAAAGACAAGGCAGAGTTACTGTCACTGTCAAAAAGTCATTGTAGCCACCCCCGGAGTGGTTGCAATTCAAGAAATTCATGATTTCTGTCTCTTAAAGGCATCTGCTTGAGAACATTTTTTTTCTGAGCTGCTTTATCTCACAACTTCAGGCTTGCTCGAAAAGAAAAAAAAAACCACAAAAAAAACCGCGATCGACTCTTGAGAACCAATAAAGAGAAAGGACCCACATATCTTATTGCTTTCAAATTTCACATGCACAAAAAGTTACCTTATTCCCGGACAAAAAGTGATTGGGCAAAGGTTCATTTCTTATACAAGCCGGAGCATTCCTTTTTTCCTCCTCCTTTCAGTTTCTACAAAGTCGTAGTCACCCAAGCAGAAAACTCGGGGGAACATGCGCCTTTTGAGACAGGGCTACTTATGAAGGGACGTTTTGTTGCCGGTAAAGAAAACCAAAATGCGATGAAAACAGTTTCTTTTTTGGGTATTCCTTCAAAGGTGCTCTTTTGCAAAGTTAGAATATGGGGAAATCAGACATCAAAACCCCTCTACACGAGCGATCTTTTTTTTCTTTCTTTTAAATCATTATTATTTTTTAAAACAAAATTTGGTGAAAACTCTGTCGCTGAGCTCAACTCAGAGCTGAGAGGTCTCCGCACTCAGCTCTGGTTCGCAGATGCAGCCGGCTCTGCCCACAGCTCACATGCACACACCGAGGTCTGACAGCATTTTAAAAATAATCCCTCGCAATAATTTGTCTGCCTCGAGCTGTAAAACACAGCCATACCACTTCTGATAACTGCCTTAGGACATTACAAATACGTACAATCAGGAAAAGTAAGGAAGGAAGGGTTTTAGCACTGACAGCATCTACAGTTCTGTCTAAATTCTGCAGCCCTCAGAACCTGGAAGCCCATTACAATATAAGCCTTCAGCATCTACTGCTGTATACACACAGCGTGTGAAAATGTTTAAGGCTGTATTTCTGTATATTTACATTTTCAAGAGATAAAGACATTAAAACACAATTAAATACACTGTATGTACGCACACTATTCTGTTCATCACTTATGATGCAACTGCATTTTATACTGCGTACGTATGGAACACTGAACAGCTGTGAGCCACACCGCTGCTCCTGTGAGCTGTGCTGTGTTGAGAACAGCAGCTGATGTTCCACCCCGCAGCCCTGCTGTCCCAGGTCCACCTCTTGGCACTGCATGCCTGTAACTACACCAGAAACAGAAAAGGAGGCATCCAAGCGCATTCTGACCCGAACTTCACAACTGCGTTTGCCTCCTGAATCTGAAGATGTGTGTTATTTTTCCTGATGGCTTGAACACTCTTCTAGAACTTATTACTTTGAAGTCGTATTAAAAAGAAAAAGTAGATCATACATTTTTCCTGTATAACAAAGAAGTTCAGCAATTGTCACAGTCGCAATTTCTAGTAAGCAACAGGGATCAAAACGTCTTTCTTGCTAAAAAGTAACGAGAGAGAAGAGTGGTCTGAAGGCCGACCTGAGCCAGTTAAGTCCTGAACACATGAGAACCAAATCCAGAACATGTGAAATACTCTGGGCACTCTGGCAAGACGGAAAAGACAGAGGAAAACGTATAATCTATTACACAAGTGAAATGCTTCTCAAAAAGTAACATCAACCCGGTACTTATTAAATTAGGATAATCAAATGCGTTGTTAACTATTATCTGGATGCAAGCTGTATTTGAAACAAACACTGAGGTAAAAGATGTGCTACTTCTGTAGTAACAGAAACATCTGTCTGCCTGGGCTCCTCCTCCCCTTGGGAGGGTGGATGTGATTTCTGGGGTACTGGAAATACATCCCAGAAAATTTTGTGAAGTAAATTCATCAGGTGACGTGGTTAGGGTTAAGAAAAAGAATTAAAACTTCCAGGTGTTAAATACACCTTTCTCAGTCAATGAAAGACGTGGACTCTGCTGCAGGACAGTTACTGCTGTATTCTTTAAACTCTGCAGCTGTTTGTGTTCTTTAAACCTGTTGCAGCTGACACTCCAGAACCACAGAGGCCCTCACCCATACACTGCAGTAAGAAGAAGGGCAATTACACAGCTAAATTCACCAGTGCACAATGATAAAATCCCATTTAAGAGAACTGACAGTTGTTTCTATGAGAAAAAAATATCCCTTCGACTGTAGTTTTACTCATGTTAATATGAACTACACGGAAATATCAACAGCGTCTCAAAGTTTCTATGCTTTTTACATGGATATGCTTCCAGGAATAGGAATTTTACTCAGCAGTGAGTAAATTAGCTGAATATAGGACAGATACGAAGAAGTAGTGATGAGAAGCAACACTGAGTACTACCGT